CAGAAAAGGTACACCAAAAACCGTGCCCCACACAAGAGAGACACTTTATTCCTAGAAAAAGACTTGTTAGGGATACTTTACGTTCGTTGAAATTAAAGCAAGTCTGATAGAACATGCGTATACTCCCAGCAGTTGTGAGACTGAGGCCAGTCGGTTGCTACAAGTGTGAGGCCAGCCTGGACTTACACAACAGCATCAAGCCCCTCAAGGGTAAGAGCCTGTCTCTAAAAGCCCAAATCAGAACTTTCAGAGTGAAAATCAGAATCTTAAAATTTTAATAATATCAGATATAAATATGTATTTCCACACACTGCTTATGGGAAAGCAGTTTGGAACACAGTCTTTCCGGGCAGAGGTCCTGACAGGTCACAACAGGCAAGCGACTACATGCTCTTTACTGTAGACATCAGTCTCAGGAGTCTGTCTTAAGAATGTTCCTTTAGGGCTGGTGCAGTGGCTCAGCACATAAAGGTCCCTGCCCAGCCTGACAACGTGATTTCAACCCCTGGAACACACATGGTGGAAGGAGAGAAATGACTGCTCCAAGATGTCCTCTGTCCTGCACATGAGGAGTGTGCAGGCTACAAGCAAATAAATAAAAAGAAGCAAATGCATAAAAGAATATTTTAATGCATATTCAAAAGTATATAATGTTATTTTCATACACAATTTGTGCTTTATTATATTTGTCTTCTTTATATTTGTGTGTGTTTGTGTGTGTGTGAGAGAGAGAGAGAGAAACAGAGAGAGAGACAGAGAGAGAGACAGAGGATATGTGCGCATGCCACAGAACACGTGGCACTCTCCTTCCACCACATGATATCTCGGGCTCACCCTCAGGTTGTGACACTTGGTGGCAAGTGTCATTATCCATGGAGTCATCTCACAGGCCCAGTCCTCTGTTACTATTCACCAGCTGCTGTGACCCTGCCTGTATTCTTTCTAACCACAGGGAAACCTGCTTGAAAGACAGAAACAATCACAACAGGCGGAGGCTAACAGGTTCCAGGCTGGGCTGGGGTTTGAGCTCCAGAGGGCAGGGGTGTGATTACGGAAGGTACTGGGGTAGTGAGCTGCTGGATTGCAGTGACCTTTGAGCAGAGTGGGATAGGTCACTGTGGGGCCAAGAAAGAGGGTGGAGAGCAGGAGGACTTGAAGAAGAGTGGGGGACGTGCAAAGTGTGCAGAACAGGGTCAGTTTTAGGCCAGGACTAGGAGCTCACACCAGCCATCCTTTCCTCAAGCACACTCTCTACCACAAGGCAGGAGTCTCTCCTCACCAAAGGCAAAATCAGCATTGTCAGGCTCTGCGATGGTACTCGGGTACAGAAAGAATTGTCTCACAATGTTTGGACTGTTTCTTATGTATCATCATCATTCCTCAAAACACTAATACACATTAAACAAAACTACATAAAATCTCAAAACAGAGAGAAAAGAATGTAAGCATGAGGCTGTGAAGCAGAGCAGAGGAACTCCTTCCTAACAGAAAAGGGTCTGACACTGTCCTGCAGGGAAGAGCTCCGAGTGCTTGTCCAGAGGAACCAGGTTCCTTTCTCAGCACTCACATGGTGGCATACAGGGGCTGGAACTCCACCTCCATCCAGGGTGTCAGGTACCATCCTCTCTCCCTTGTGGGCATTACAAGCTCTGGTGCACAGACATACATGCAAGCAAAACACACATCAACCTTCTGAACAGATACCTTTCTTTTTCTCCACATTTACATAATCATGTTTACCTCTACCTGTACCGTGACCCTCTGCAAGATACCTGCAGAAGGAAAGAATTTGGGTAAGAGGACACGTGTAAACTAGAAAAATTCTCTGTCACCACCATTCCGTAGAAGACAGGACACTGCAGAGCACTGCTGGGGAAGAGCATAGGAGGCAACTACTATTACCCCAAGGATTGACAGGCAGCCTGCTCACCTCACAAGACAGGTAGAGCTCAGGAAACATGCCAGATTCTGTATAATGCTTCCGGACATTTGTCAGATTGTCTCAGGAGTATCTAACTAAAGCTGTTTCACACAAACAGCCTTCACACCTCTTCAACAAGGATGAATGCAGGCACCTTTAATTAGCCCACAAACTGAATTCCCTTTTGATTTTCTAATGGTACTGGGGATTAACCCAGACCCTCAGAACTATAGTGTGGTCTATCTACAAGCCTACTTTTAACCAATTTACAAACCTTGCATATCATAGTCCCCATTTCAATTTGAAATCTCCCTTTGAGTTGAATAATACCTCTGTCCTGTGGAAATTTCAAATTACAAGATACCAGAGCTACAGTTTCTGAGAAAACGTATGACATAACCTAAAAAGACTCCTGCACAGCCATGTGGACTATGGCATGGGAGAACAGAAACCGTTTACCTGCTCAAATGAAGATAGGTTCAAACCTATCAGACTGCTCCTTGGTGTATGCTCAGGAAATCACCAAGCATGTTAGAAAGAAGCACCGTGTTTTGGGTTGGTTTGTTTGGCTCTTTTGTTTTTTCCAGACAGGCAGGGTTTCTAAATCTGTTTTCTGTGTAAACGCTCTGGCTGTCCTGGAAACTGTTTGTATGCCATGCTGGCCTGAACTCACAGAGATCTGTCTCCTTCTGCTTCCAGAGGACTGAGATAAAAAGGAAGCACCTTCATTGCCCAGCTTGCAGTGTGTTTATATACTGAAAATTGACTTAATGATTATCTTGTTTTACTGGGATACTTAATATTGGGATATATTCCTAGTAATATGAGAGGTAGTAGACACATTTTAACATGACACATAAAAGGAATTAGCAAAGAAACATTAACAGTACTTTCCCCTGCCCACTAGAGGAATGGGCCTTGTATTACCACAGACGTCATCAGTAAGACCTGTACCCAAATGAGCAAGCACACGTAGGAACGCAGTTCTTCACTGCCTGTGGAAGGAGATAGCATACACGATCAGGGTTTCACTGAAGCACCAGTCCAATTCTGTTGGATCCCTGAATGACGGGTTAAAGAATTTCAAGATCTTGCTTTTTTTTGGTTTCTTCATTTAGAAATTAGCTATTATTCTCTGTGGGTCCTACGGAACCATTTCATCAAAAGGCACCTTTATGACATTGTACCCTGCCATGGGGAAAACTAGATTAGGCTCAGCTGCGGAAGAACGTAAATGTCCACCATGGGGGACTGCACACTGGGCTGTCAGGAAGGGTCCCACTGCCTGGCTACCCCCAGAATCGAACCTCTGCAGTATTTGGGAAGAATCAGCAGCAGGCCTTGCACACCTCTTGAACAAGAAAGGGATCACGTGTGCGCACATCTGCAGGGCTGGGAGGGTGGGGGTGGGGACCTTTAGATGCTATACCAAGGAAGACTCGCTTTCTTTTGAAACAGCATCTGACATTTATTGAAAGCAAGGAAGAGGCTTTTGTACAAGTAGAACAGAGGAGCTGGAAAGAGCACAGGGATTATTGTGTTGAACAAAGGCACACACTCCAGAGAGACAGCTGCGAATTCAGAAAGAAAACTGGATTGATTCGCGGGAAAACGAACTGGTCCACGTGACAAAAGGAGAGACAAGAGGTCTCTGGGAGCAGGGGGATAATGGGTCCCGCTCAAGGTAAATCAATGTCCAGGGCTGTGGGAAGCTCAGGTACCTCCCAGTGAGATGAGTCCAGATCAGTTAAGGGCAGTGGTCCTTCCACAGATGGTGGGGGCAGGGACGTGAAGGGGCAGCGGCAGCGCAGTCCTCGTGGGCGGATGGGTGCAGGCTGTCCACCAGGCAGGAGGCAGTGGACAGTGTCCGGCGGCGGGTGATGTGTCCATTATGTAACAGGAGTCCATCTTGCAGCTGGAGCCCAGGACAGTGTCCAAACGTGCCTGGGAGGGGCTGGGCTGTCAGCCCTGGGAGGCATCATGCTCTCCAGAGCCAGGCCCGACAGGGGCAGCAGCAGAAGCCTAGAGAGCTATTCTTGGAACAAAGGCAGGGAGGACTCAGGAGGGGACAGGGGCGCGCATGCGAGATCTCGGGAAGCACAGGCAGGAGGGGGCGCGATGGGAGGCCACCCCCCGCCAGGCGACCCTGGCTCACCCTCCCGGAGCACCCATCAGTTGTCCTCGTCCTCGTTCTTGTCCTCGTCCTCATTCTTGTCCTCGTTCTCGTCCTCCTTCTTGTCCTCATCCTCGTTCTCATCCTCCTTCTTGTCCTCGTCCTCGTTCTCATCCTCGTTCTTGTCCTCGTCCTCGTTCTTGTCCTCGTCCTCGTTTCTGTCCTCGTCCTCGTTCCCGTCCTCGTTCTTGTCCTCCTCCTCGTCCTCGTTCTCGTCCTCCTCCTCCTCCTCGTCCTCGTCCTCCGAGCTGTACACATCAAAGTCCTCCTCCTCCCAACCAAACACCCGCTTCATCTCGGCCAGGAAGTCGCTGTAATCCCAGAGCAGGGGGCTGTCCTGCTCGATGTAAGGGATCACCCACTCCAGGGCCGGGCCCTTGAGGCGGGTGATGAGGAATGTCACCTTGTGTTCGTCGCAGTCGAAGATCTTTTCGTCCACCAACATGTAGGCGCCCGTCTGCACGATGAAATCCGGGAGGCGTTCGGTGTCGCCATCAAAGAGCTCGGGAAATGGCAGGGGGTTCCTGGGACGATCGGGAGACAGTTCGGGCCAGGCTAACAAGGCCATCATCAACTTCACCCGGTCCATGGCGCTGCCCCTGCTCCGCTGTGCTCGTCGCGGGGTCGCCGGACCCTATGCAGAGTCGCTGGGCTCTCGGCGGGGTCCGCTGGGCTTTGCAGGGCCTGCTGAGCTCACAGGTTGTCAGTGCCCAGGCGTCACCGGAAGTGCGTGTGTGCGGAGGCGGGCCCTGGCGGAGGGTGGCTGTGGGCGGGGCCCCGCCTGAATGCAGAGCCTGAGAGGCTGGCGCTGGAAAAAAAAAACAAAACAAAACTTGGTTGTCACCAGTGCACAGGCAGGTCTCTGGGCAGCCTCAGGCGACTGCTTGTGGAGTAGTTCTTAAGGTTGGAAACAGTAGGGGCCTAAAGCACAGAGACAGGAACTTGGCTTACGTAGGTACTAATGAGGAAGAGTCAGACAGTCTGGGAAGGTACTGGATTCCTGGCATCTTTTGGTGATGGTGCAGTTCCATATCACTGGAGAGTAGGATTGTCCTGCACATATTCACAGCCCTTTCCTAGCCAGATGCTGTGTTTTCCTTCCCAGACCCTAGGATGTGAACATCTCTTGGGAGCTAGCTGTTCAGTGCACACATTTCCCTGTTTCTGGTCTCTGTGTGAAGAACTCTCTTTCTCAGTCTGCAGATATGGATGCTTTTCAGCACTGACAGTAGTCCCTGAAACATTAGAGAGCAGACTACAGGGCCGCCCTTTCAGAGATCGAAGTGGTGGCATAGAGGGCAATCGATATCAGGCGAGTTAGATGTCAGGGAGTCTCTAAATCTGCTGCATAAGAAACCAAGAGATGATCATTCGTGTGAACAAAGACGAGGGGGAAGAAGCTTACCAGTACTATACGATATAAGGCAGTGTCCAAAGATAAGAGAAAGGAACATGATTTCCCAAAATTGGAGAGAAGAGGAGGAAGTTTGACAATATGCATCATGCATGAAGCCAGTTGTCAGGCAAAGCACATAATAAACGCTTATTTACAAGTGTCTTGCTTTTTTTTTTTTTTTTTTTTTTTTTTTTTTTTTTTTTTTTTTTTACAGAAAGTAACATGTTAAATGACATGATTTCCTTACGACCCACCTTGTGAAGCAATTAAAATAGGGCCTTGGAACAAACCCAAAGAAATGTGAAAAGCAGAATTGGGTTTTGAATACTTAAGGAAAGAGAAGGGAAGAATAGCCGAACAAATGCAGAGACCGCTAGGCTCAGAGATATGACAGGAATATCTCAACATAATGAATATGGTAATTTTGCTTATGAAAGGAAACTGAGCACTTGCAGGGTTGCCAGTGTAACCCAGCAGCTACTGTCCCATAGAGCCAGGTGACTCAAGAAATATTCCTCTTTCTCTACATGTTTCCTCCTTACCTGGTGCCACAGTGACCATATAAATGCAAGTGCGAAATGTGTGTTGTGCACCTCACTCGGTTGGCACAAAAAACTTTACATGGCATAGTCATCTTGAGTGCATCCTATAATCTGCCTGGCAACCTTCACCCCTCTGTCCTTCAAGCAACACTCCCCTCTGTACTCCTGCTTGTCTGGTTTCATATCAGCTTGATAATGTGGCAGTGCCCAAAGATGTGCTAAGTGGGAGACAGTCAGATGAGGTCCAGGGGTGGCAAACTCAGGATGAGTTAATTTCTTGCCTTTATCCTAAGGGAACTCGGGGAACTTCTCCTAAGCATGTGAAGACACACCAGCTTGGCCTGACGTCTGCAAGGCAAGAAGGGCGTGCAACACATTCTAAAGATGCTGAGAGTGACCAACACTCTGAAGATTATTTTTCAGATGCCCTGGCGGCCCAAGCTGAATAAGACACTAATTCAGCTCTTAAGACTATTAAAAATTCATGAGCAGGTTGCCAGGTCTCGCATCTATAATCCCCGCACTTGTGAGGTAGGCGGGGAGCCACGGTAAGCTTGAGTCCAATGTGAGCTCCACACTGAATTCAGTGGCAGCTTGAGTTACATACAAAGATATTGTCAATGTAAAACAAGAACCCAAAGTGCTTACGTTATTAATATACCTCAGAAAAAAAGTGACAGGCAGAAAGAAATTCATAGCCAGGATATCTATGAGGCTTCCCCGATAAACTATCCACTATAGGGATAACACATCATTTTTCACTGGTTAAGGTAAACTTATGTAAAGACATGTTTAGGTTAAACAGACAGTGCTTCAGTAAAATACTTAATTTTAATTCGTGAAGACAGTCTGGTTGGACACTGTTGATACACGAATTAATAACCAACACTTGGTAGGCAGAGTCATTCAGATCTCTGAGTTTGAGGCCAGCTTGTTCTACCAGCCTGCTCCAGGAATGCCAGTGCTACACAAAGAAACCCTGTTTCAACAAACTGAAGGTGGGGGAGAAATGGGAAGAAGGAAAGAGGGAAGGAGATGGAGAATTTACATCCTGAGTAAGGTGGTGGTGGCACTTGCCTTTAATTCTACCCCTGTGGAGGCAGAGACAGATGTTTCTCTGAGTTCCAGGCCAGCCTACTCTACAGAGGAAGTCACAGGACAGTCAGGGCTAAACAGAGAAACCCTCTCTCAAAAATCCTAAGGTGGAAAAAAAGAAAGCTGGAGTCTGGATGGTGTGTTTCCTTTGGAGTAGATTTCATAATGTAGCCCGGGATGGCCCAGGATGATCCATCATTCTCCCTAAATCTCAGGTAATAACAATTTAAGCTTGCTTGTGCCTCAGTGGGCTTTGTGATATGTTATTTTTAAACCCGAAGCAAAAAAAAAAAAAAAAGCCGAAGCAGAGATACAAGGGGTGGGTATAGCAGCTCCAAAATTCTGACCCTAGGAGCTGGTTGACCACTGAGGTAGTCTATTCTAGCCCCTTTTTCTCTTCTTGGGTTGATATCTTTAAGTACTGAACACCTATGCCTGTCCCAGAGCATTGAATCAAACAGAATATACCACTCCTGGTTTTCTGAGGCCAGCCCAGTTTGCCACTGGAAGGTGTCATGTACTTTATCAAATATGAAAGAGAGATGCAGAAATCTAGAGGCACACGGTAATACTACAAGCTCACAATAATAGAGAAAACGGTCTGGTGTGGGGAGATAGTCCTGTTGGTTAGGGGCTTGCTGTGTCATCAGGACGACCTGAATCTTGTCACTGAAAGCCAGGTAAAGAGTCAGTGGTGCTGACCTGTTATCTTCTCTCTTGGAAAGACAGAGGGCCCAGCAGGAAGGACTGCCACAAGGAAAGGAACAACTTGTCTGCCTCTCAAGAGATGAGAGGTACACACACATGTGTGCAGGCTCCCCAAAACACAGACACACACAGTTACACACTACACACTGCACTTACACATACCAATACACACTTGTCACAGCACATCCAAACACTGAATAAATAGTAATATACACAAATCAAAGTCTGTTTAATTTCACGACTCTAGTTTCAAATATCAATCATGTAATCTTCCATGGTAAATAGAAAAAGAGTGTACTTGTTCGTACAATTTGTCTATATATATAAGAAAAGAAATTTGATACTGGTCACCACCAATTCATGGTAACAACGCCAAATTCATGGATCTTTAACAATTGGAAGTGGCAGCTGTAAAAATATAATAGCAAACCAGAAAAATCATGGGAAAATGCTGGAAATGTTTCTGCGGGATTGACAAAAGTGCTTGCTTGCCGTGAAGGTTTGTAAGGGAAGGCAACAGGGAGGTAGAAAATAAAGCAGTAAACAAAATAAGGTTAGAAGGCCTAGGAGGGAGGAAAAGGCCATCATACCTCAGTCCTCACCTACCTCTTACAGGTCCTCATGGCTGGCATATCCAGCCCCATAGCCTAAACTTCAGACCAGGGACTGAGCTGGCTGCCCTTCTCTGGGGTGCTCTTCCCCGTATAACACAGCCATTTTGGCCACGTCAGACTTTTGTTTTTTCCCCATTTGGCCTCTTGGTCTCCTGGTTCCGCACTCCTCTCTGTCCTCACAGGGCTTGGCTCTGTGCTGGTCCTGTCCACTCGGGATGCCCACAGATGCCTCTGCTGTGCTCTGGATCTTCTCGACAATAAACCTTCCCTTCCACCAAAACCTAGGAGCAGTGCATGTCCTCCTTTTATTTCTTTTCTTTTTCTTTTTTTTCCAATCTGGTGCTGAAACCATGTGATTGGCCTAAAAGCGTTTCCCTCAAAGAAACCCAGCCTCTTTGAGCCAAGCATCTGATCTGACTCTCCTAAGGTACATAGGGATCATTTGTTTGTGCTGGCTCCTGCCAGCCACCAAATTTGATCCCAAATCCTAGAGTCGGCCTCGTCAGCTACTCCTCCCTCCATGTGCTCTATCTATTCCTCTCCTTGTCTATGCTGTGAGTGCGTGTCAGGTGCTTGGAGCCTTCAAACCCTTCTATGGGGCCTGCAACAGCATCCCATGGGGCCTGCTACACGGTTCCGTGGGCCTGCTAAGGGTTCCGAGAGACCTGCTACAGCATCCTGTGGGGCCTACTACAGCATCCCATGGGGCCTCCTACTACGTCCTGTGGGGCCTGCTACAGTGTCCTATGGGGCCTGCTACAGGGTCCTGTGTGGCCTCCTACACAGCCTGGGTATCTTTGCTATGCGCTCCCCTAGGGCCTGCTAAGCGTCCTCTGGGGCCTGCTAAGCGTCCTGTGGGGCCTGCTACAGCGTCCTGTAGGGCCTGCTACACAGCCTGGGTATCTCTCCTATACCCTCTCCAGGGTCATGCTACAACATCCTGTGTGGCCTGCTACAGGGTCCTGTGGGACCTGCTACCCAGCCTGGGTATCTCTGCTATGCCTTCCCCAGCTGCCTGATACAGCGTCCTGAGGGTCCTGTAGAGGGTCTTGTGGGGCCTGCTGATGGGGGATAGTCTTCTGTTTTGTGTTAATTTTACTGGTTAAATAAAGAGACTGCCTTGGCCCTGATAGGACAGAAAATTAGGTAGGCGGAGTAGACAGAACAGAATGCTGGGAGAAAGAAGCCGAGTCAGGCAGTCGCCATGATTCTCCCACTCCAGACAGACGCAGGTTAAGATCTTTCCTGGTAAGCCAGCTTGTGGTGCTACACATAATATTAGAAATGGGTTAGATCAATATGTAAGAGCTAGCCAATAAGAGGCTGGAACTAATGGGCCAGGCAGTGTTTAAAAGAATAGAGTTTCTGTGTAATTATTTCAGGTAAAGCTAGCCGGGTGGTGGGCCGCCGCTCCCACTACAACAGCCTGATAAAAAGCCTTGGTTTCTCTGCTATGCCCTCCTTAGGGTCCTGCTATAGCATCCTGTGTGGTCTGCTACACAGCCTGGGTATCTCTGCTATGCACTCCACAGGGGCCTGCTACAGTGTCCTGTGGGGCCTGCTACAGCCTCCCATGGGGCCTGCTACAGCGTCCTGTATGGCCTGCTACCAGGTCCTGAGGGGCCTGCTACAGTGTTTTGTGGGGCCCTACACAGCATGTGTATCTTTGCTATACCCTCC